GATCCCCCTGCGGGGTAAGGCGCACTTTTGCTTCTGTTCCATCGTGCAATTGGGAGATAAGCCAAAGTAATCTTTTGTCAATACCCCAGGCGGAAAGTTTGGCCCACAGCTTAGCTCTAGGGATGCTGTCGAAGGCAGCCTTTAGGTCTATAAAGGCAACGCAGAGACGGCCCTTCCTGGGGGTGGAATATTTTACGGCAAGATGATGAAGGATTAGGGCATGGTCAATTGTAGAATGGTCTGGACGGAACCCCGCCTGCTCATATCCGAGCAGGTCGGCCTCTTCAGCCCAGCACTCCAGTTTGGACAGGAGATAACGGGCATAGAGTTTCCCCAAAATTGAAAGAAGACTGATGTCACGGAAGTTGCCGGGATCAGAATGGGCGCCTTTCTTATGTATTGGGATAATTATGGCATCCTTCCAGAGTTTGGGGATAAGGCCCGTCTGGTTGATCGCATTAAATACCTCGGTGAGAACCGGGGTCCACCAGTCCTTATGGGCTAGAATGGCTTCAGCTGGGATGAGATCCAGGCCGGGAGCTTTTCGAAGTTTGAGTTGTCCGATTAATTTGGCAATCATGGATGGTTCCACAGGAGGCCATCTGGGAAGGTAGTTAGGGAAAGGGCCTGAGGTCAAAGAAACTGGCACATCAGTGTCGTAAAAGACTCGGCGTAGAAAGAGTTCCCATGTAGTGGCAGAGATGGAGTGAGTGAGCCTACTAGTTGGCCTCCTGTTTAACAGACTCCAGAAATCTCGAGGGTTGTTGGATTTCGCGGCCTCTAGTAGTGCATTCCACCTTAGCCGGTGCCAGTCTTGCTTGGCTCTTGAAAGGGCTAGCTTGTATGCCTTCTTGGCCTCGAAATAAGCAGGGGGGGCCGTCGATGAACCTGTTCGTTTGTGAGCAGAATATATAAATCTCATATGGTTCCTGGCTTGTTTGCACTGCGAATTAAACCAAGGGGCTCCCTTCCTCCGGGAAACTCTACCAGGGGTAAGAGTGGGGGGCTGAAAGGAGGCTATAAGACCGCTTAAACACTCAGTGAAGGCGGTCAGTAACACACCGGGTGTAGCCTTGGTGCCGATTAAGGCTGACAAAGTATTGGCTGCTTCTTGATGATAAAAGCGTGCGTGAAAAAGGGCCAGAGACTTTGACCATTTCGGCAACATCGGAGAGCCTCTGGGATTAGAGTCTATTGAGACAGCATGAGCAGAATGGTCTTGAGGACTATATAACCGTGCAACCGTAATGAGAGGAAGGTGATCACTGAAAATCCTGTCGTCTACTTTGAAGGAGGAAATGTATGGCAAAAAGGCTCCGAAACCAAGGTATAGTCTATTATGCTGTTGCCATTTTTGGCCAAGTGGGTAAATTCCCCGGGGACATCCGGGGCAAATCTGCCATTGAGGGGGAAGAGGTGTAGTTTGATGGTAAGAAGAGCTAGACAAGTCCCCGCTTTGTCAACTTTCCGATCCTTGGAGACTCTCCCTTTCAAGGTATTCAGGGGGTGGTCATCTCTAGTCGGGCCTGTCCACCAACAAGAGGCAACCAGGGTTTCCCAAGTCCCCGCAGTGCGGGCGTTTAGATCCCCCGCCAGAAGAACCAGAGAATGAGGGAATCTAAGTGTGATGGTAGTGAGAAAGTCTTCCAGACCAGCCCACAGCTCATCCAAGTCCCGGTGAGAGCCCCCAGGAGGAAGATAGACATTAAACACCAGGAGCGAGAGCTTCCTGATGGATATCAAATTTGCCTGGGCGTAAGGGGCAAGGGAGTCCACAGGAGTCATGTTTGCGTGCAAATCCAGGGAGATACCTGTTGCAAGGCCGCCCTTCAAACGACCACCAAGCAGTGAGGGACGGGCTGGCAGGGATATGATTTCAAAACCACATAGCGAAATATCATTAACCTCCCACGTTTCCTAAAATATGAGAATTTGAAAGTTTTTGAGGTAGTTCAAAAAGTCCGGGTCGGCTTTTTTGGATGCCCACCCTGCAATGTTCCAACTCATGATGGACCAAGGAAGAGTTGGAGAGTAGATCTTTGACTGTCATTTGGAAGCAACAGGGGGCTGGGGGAAGGACTGGGGGACAGTTAGACCGAAGAAATCTGTTATCTTGCCTTGTTTATCTTGCTTAGTTTTGGGATCATTGTTAGATCTTGGAGAATTCTGGTGGGAAGCCAGATTTGGACTGAGGTTATTGTCCTGGTCTCGGTAGTGGCTTGAATGTTGTACAGATGGAATGATGGGGGAGACAACTGTATGGTATTGTTGTCATCAAAAGAAATACAGCCGTTATGTGATTTGGTGATAATGATAGACGGTGAAAGAGGGGGAGCCCGAGGAGTCTGAAAGGTCAAACCAGCCAGTTGTGGGGACTGAGAGTGTGGCATTTCGGGAGGCGAGATTCTCGGAGCAGAAGGGGAACAAGTGATCAGGGATAAGGGGACAAGTCCTGATAAGCCTTCAGCATCAGAGGTAGAGAGGGGTTGATTTGGGAGCGCAACATTTCTAGTTCTAGGTCATCCTCCCGTTGTTGCTGGGTTGCCAGCGACGTTGTGGGACTGGTAGTTGAAGCCCTCAGAGGGCTACCAGGTTTCGTGTGAAGATCCTTGCACTCCGGCCCCGTCCGACGGCAAGTGTCCATGTTGATCGCTTCCTCCCAAGAGAGGATAGGTGAGTATTTATAAAGCATCTCTGAGGAAAGACTCCAAAGTGGGTCAGATGGTTGCGAAGACCACTTAAAAGCGAGGGGGTCTTAGATGAGCTGAATTTGAGAATCAAACGTTTGTGGTGGGATGTGCTAGGAAGCCATTCCATGGAAAGCAGCTCATTGTTCAGGATGTGAGAATTGGATAGAAGCCTTAATGTGTCTAAAATGGTTTTACGGTCGGTCCAGTCGTACTTGTTAAAGTGAGAATGGGCCAAGTTCAGACATAAGTTGGCTGTGAGCAATTGGAGATTCACTAACGGCGTTGGTCGTGGAGGAAGATGGCTATCCGTTCGGGACAGACCCAGTGCATGTCTGGTGATTTGTGATGCTGAGACCGACTTACTGAGGGATTCCACTTTGCCCTCCAGCACTCCAACAGAGGATGTCAAAAGGGTAATAGAGTCAGCCAGACGGAGACAGAACTGTTGCAAAAGCCGGATATCCGAGGGCTGAACTGAGTCGATAGGGGACGGCAATGCAGTGAGACAGGGCAAGACAGAACTAGCATCTGATGGTGTCGGGCAATCCAGCAAAGAAGATGTGTTGCAAAGTGAGGCATCCAGGGATTCCGATTCTTCCAAAGGAGAGCTGGGCAGAGTCTCCAGAGATGTTAAGTTTTGGAAGAATTCTTCCAAAGAAGTAATTGATAAGTTTGGATCTTGGTTCAATTTCATGGTGTCAGTCTTTTTGATCTTAGGCAAGGAGCCCATTATGTTTTCGAGGGAGGTCTCCAGACTAAGGTCCCTTGGGGACAAGGAACGACAATGTTTGTGTGGACTCATATCAGGGCAGCCAGTTGATCTCTTGGTGGAGGATGTTGGGTAATAATAAGGCCCAATGCTGGTTAACGTTCTGATAGTAAATTAAAGAAGACCCGGCTTATAGAGTCCCCCGGTTAAAAGCAAATTGTATGGGTAAAGCTTCAACGGAGGTCAGCCCATATACATCAAAGCAGTCAGAGCAGTCAAGGCAGCTTGTAGGGAATATTTGCCGAGTTGTTAGCAAGCAGTATGAGTAATGAAGGCAGGACGCTGGGCCAGGCAATTAGGCCTAACAAACAAAAATATCAGAGGAATTGCAAAACCGGGCTCGTTTCCAGAGTAAAATGGGAGTTGCCGGGAGAGAGTTGGAAAATTAACTGGTATGCAATTTTGCATTAAAACTCCTCTGCAAAAATCAGGGGGTAAAGGCTAAAAGCACAGTTAAAATCGCAATAAAAGACGAAGTAAAAACTTAAAAGCCGAGCAGGAGAAGCATATATCCTACCAGTCCTCCATCTTGGCTCCACCCCTTATCTCTCTCTCTCTCTGTGTGTGTGTGTGTGTGTGTGTGTGTGTGTGTGTGTGTGTGTGTGTGTGTGTGTGTGTAGAGGCTAGAATGCCTTGCTAGGCACAACACAGAACTCTCATGGGAACCAAAGTCATCTCCACAGGTGTTGGATGTAGTCAGAGAGGAGTGCCTAAGAAACCCACCAATTAATCTAACTGGACAATGTGACCTGTGACACTTGGGAAGGGGATCATTTACTATTTTAATTATACCAAAACCACAGGGAACATTTATAGTTTGTTTTAATCTTAATCGTGCCGATATGATGTACCCAATAAAGAAGTCCTTTGAGGAAGATTTAAGTCTGAGAGTTTCAATTTGCTTGCACTTGTTAGTCAGAACTTAGACAACACCTTCAAGAAAACAAGGACCCCACAGTTACCTGTTTGTAAACATGATAGGATCTTTCAGGTGACCTCTTTTCAAAGCTGCTAAATTATAGCCATCTTCTGGATTACTGAAATGGCCAACATGTTAGTCTGTTTGGTGCATGAATCAGTATGAGATTTTAGATGCCTGTTAAAATAAAAAAATAATAAAAAACCCTCTAATTGAGAATTGTTGCCGTGCTTCAGAATTCATTGGTTCTGCTTGCTGCCTTTGAAAACTATATCAGAGTAATAATTCACCAGCTTAATTGCTGATGCAACATAGTTGTAATTGAGCATAAGCAAATTTTCTGATTCAGCACTGACTTGCCTTTCACGGAACAGGTATTACATGCCCCAAAGGAAATTGTTAACTATAAACCTGATTAAAATGTGAATAATTATTGAGAAATATTTGGAGTTCTTCAATAATGGGATATAGTATATATATTTCCAGCTCAATACATGCACACATATAAGCAACAAAGCATAGCAAAAACTGCAACCATGGAAAACAGCAGGTTATTACAAGATTCTGATTAAGCAGCTTGAGGGAAAATAACTACTTTGAAAAAGAAAAAAAACTATATTAATTATGTGAGGCCAATCACTGAAATGGCAGCAATTTATTACAGATTAACATTTTAGTACTTCATTGGAGATTGGCAGCATGGGTGACTAAGTAGATCTCATGAGAGTAGTTTCTGAGTTATTTTGCAAATATAAAAGCCTGTCCTTGAAAGAGCATTTCTTTGGTAAAAAGGATAAGGAAGAAGAAAGAGGCACTACTCTACAACCTTCATCCTAAACTAGATCTCTGTCTTCAAAGAGGAGGCAGGAGCAGAAAAGAAAAAAACTACTAGAAATAAGCAGGAACATTTTGCACTGAAGGACAATGTGATTTGGTTCCTTTTCAACTTTGTGGGTTTTCCATTCAGCTTCTGAGGTAAATATAGACAGACACTGAGAAAGCATGTATATTTTGTGAACGTCTGTAATGTCTATAAATAAAGGATACTGTACTACTTTCAGAAACATACAGATTGAAAAAGCAAAGCACTATGTCTTAAGCCTATTTCATTGTTGATTTGCTTGGTCTGCAGACTGTACATAATGAAGTTAAATAGGCAACACCACTTTTGGTAAGGAAAAGAAAAATCACATCGTATGATGAGCAAGTGTACCCAAGTGGTAACCATCTCTATTTTGGCATGTCTGGCTCAGGTAAGCTGCATTAGATCACAAAGTAACAGGATGGAAAAAGAGATGGAAAATCAAAAGGAAATGAATTCTGATTTAGGACGTACATTTGTAGCATAAAATGTAGAAAACCTATCTTGCTCATGCTGAACAGCAAGAAAAAAAGAGACTCAAATATCTGAGTATATGAGAATAAGAAAACAATTATGAATATTATACCAGTTCAAGAAAACAGTAACTTTAACATTGTGAGGATGAAAAAAAGAACAGCTTGCCTCCCAAAGTTCTGGATGCTGCAGGTCTTCAGGAAAAGATTGGAGAACTATTTGTCCAGGATGATAAAAAGTCTTCTGCCTTCGGCAGGGGCATGAATTAGAAGATATCCAAGGCCCCTTCCAGCCCTATGATTCTATGATTTCTATGAAAGAAAGCAGAATATTCTGCCATTGTCTTGATTCTTTTCTCTTTTAAGATTCCACAGGTGAAACTGCAAGAGAATTGTACAAACAATGATCTGTGAGTATATGCAGAGCACCATCAATTTCTTATAACTTCAATAAGCTGTCTAAGATATATGGATAAAAATTGCTTCAGTTTTTGTATGGAACAGAATTTTGGGAAAAGACTATAAATAATTTTAGGAATGAGCTGCGCTGACAACTTCAAAAATGTATTTTTGGACAATTCATTGAGAGTAAGAAAATAAAATTATATCCCTACTTTATCTCCACCAAGTAACATATTAGGTATAGAGAAATGATTATTATAATTGTATAATACTATAAATCTATAAGGTTGCTAACCTTATTTTTCTTACTGAAAAGGCCTTACATTGTTCACTGTCTGCAGTTCCTGGATAGACTTGGAGCAGATGTCATGATGCATGGCTTTATTCTCCAAGCAGTAGAAAAAAGTGTCTATGGATTACAAAAAAAATTAAAAAATAGAAAAAATTACACAACTCTGTCACTTCGCATTAGACTGGTGCACACCATAACATTTTAGTGCCATTTCCTCCTCACTCCAAGAAATCAATGGAAAACTCTTTCCTATTTTCAAGGAGGCACATGTTTTGGACAAAATTAGGAGGAGATGACTATGGTTCAATCTTAGCTAGAAAACTGTTTTCACAGAGAAGATAGGTAAAGTAAACATCTGTGCAAGATGCTCATACACACACACATACACTCAAGCATACAAGCATATCAAAATATTAATCCTAAGTATGAGACTGTAGGATCATTAGATTCTTCTCAAGAAGATGTGATTTATATTTTAAACCTGGTTGAAAATACTAAAAGACACTAACTTTAGTCACCAACATCAATAACTTAGAATATTCAGAATAGTACAGATATCCAAACTCAAACTCTTTAAAAATGTCCAATTTTTTTAAAGTTAATAATGATTCATAAAATTGTCAAATTAAATATTTTTAGGTTTTCTATAGTTCTATACACCTTCATCTCTCTTGAAACCAGCTAATTATCCAATATATTCTGGAAACAGAACTTTTTAATAGGATTTCTTCATAGCACATCACACACACACACACACACACACACACACACACACACACACATTTCCTTATTGATGCTACTGGTTATCAGATTATATCTGAAAATGAAAGGACACATCTGGCAGTGAGGATAGAATTTTAAAATTGAGTTAGATATATCATGCATAGGATTGAGCAGCAGAAGTATGGCTTTTAAAATGCAACTGTTGCACAAGAAGCATGTCTGATTTATTATTCTGAATATTTTCCAATATTGAACTACAGAGTTTGAGGGAGTCTAACTTTCTTATCTTTTATGTTGATCTAATACACTTTTAGAAGGCTAGAAGGACATATCATTGAGCTGTTCCTGGGGTGTTATTCTGAATTCTGGCATTCAGCCTATTCCAAGCAGTTCTGGTCTCCTAAGCATGCACTGTATACTCTGTAAAAAGTAGAAGAGGCATAGCATTCAGGGTAGCTGGAGCAGACACAGACTCAATACCAGAACTCAGAGAGAGGCCTCCTAGGAAAATAACAGAAGGACTAGCAAGAGCACTTCTCTCCTCTTTTGTTTGCCTTGGATGGCACTCAGGAGTGCATTGAAACTATTGCAGGAGTTATTGCTCTGAGTAAAAAGAAAGCCACTGAAAAAAAGTGCCAGTGCCCAAATCCTGTTTCTGGCCTGCCATCACTCATGTAGAATGGGAGTGAGTGTTGTTCCCCTTAAATCTGCTGATCACCTCATGAAATCCTATTAAAAAGTTCTGTTTCCAGAGTACATTGGATAATTGGCTACTTTCAAAAGAGATGGAGTTATACAATCAAGATCATTTGGGATTTTGATTGCTGCTAATTTACTAACAAGTGTATTTGGATAGCATGAAGTAAATCAATAACACAATGTGTAACATTTAAATCTCACATATACCCTCAAAAACAAAATGCTGTGGGCATAATTATTTATTAACGAGGGCAGGAATATTATTGCCGGGATAGACGTGTTTGTATGTTTAGTGTTATGAATGGGGGAGGGAGGGAGGGGAATGTATAGTTTTTGTTTTTATGTATAATCAATGTTTTTGTCTCATGTTGATTTTAACCTGGAAAACTTAATAAAATTTATTTTTTAAAAAAAAAAAAGCAAAATGCTTTCAGTGAAAACTTTTCATGTATCTGGGTTATTAAGTCAAGAGCAATCATCTAAAAATTGTCTGATTGTGAGAATATAAAAATTAATCCTCTATTTCTATGACATTAATATTTTCTTGAACTTCTTTTACCCTCAAAGCTGTTCCAACACAAACTGGGTCCATCATTGGTACATCTGGTAAGGTTAATGGGAAAAGATTCCATGTCATTTATGATGCTTTGAATTTGTTGAGTGAACTTCTTTACTTTTAAAATATAAAATATGATAATAGAAACAATACGGATAGTAACTCAAACATAAACCACAACAAACAAGAGAATATTAAGAATACTTCTCCACACATACACACACTCAAGGCAACTGGATATGTATAGCCTAAAAAAAAAAAAGAATGATTAGGAGTGATATGATACCTGTCTTCCAGTACTTGAGGAGCATCACAGGGCAGGAGAAGAAGATCATTAAAGAAAGATCCAACCTAAAACTAAGGAGAAATTTCCTGACAGAACAATTAATCAATGGAACAATTTGCCTCCAGAAATTGTGGGTGCTCCATCACTGGAGGTTTACAAGAAGAGACTGGACAACCATTTGTCCAGAATGGCCTAGAGCAGTGATGGCTAACTTTTTCTGGACTGACTGCCCAAAGGGCACACACACAAATGTGCATGCCTGCCCCCAAACCCCCCAAAATGCAATGCATGTGCAGCCCCTGCACAAGCTCCCTGACCCCTGTGCATTGTTTAGGGAGTTTAGGGGGATGTCAATGTTCTTCTGCTTATAAGGGCTTCATGTGGTCAGTAGGTCTTGTGATGGTGAGGTCATGTCAGATGAGGGTCCCATCCGGTCAAAGTATTGTGATGGGTCTGGTGTGGGTGTGATCATCGGCCACACTATCACCATCATGCTCATGAGTTCATCAAGGCCTGGCACTCCACAAACAATTCCATCAACAGACACATTGACCTACAATCAGCCTACAAACCCCTCAGAATCCAAATCAATCACACAACCAACCAGAGACAGCACCAATCAACAACCAATCCCTTCAAGCCCCTCCAACCAGCACTTCATCTCCCAATGACCCTCACCTGATGTAATCTCCCCATCACAAGACCCATCACAAGATTCACTGGTGACTCACACCTGACCCATCACAAGATCCTGATCTGATGGGACTCTGACTTGACATGACCTCACATCACAAGACCTACTGACCACACAAAGCCCTTATAAACAAAAGAACACTGACAATCCATAAACTCTGCTGAAGATGTTATGTAGTCTGGTAATGGAATGTTCGGAAACCAATACACAAGCTTGGAAAATGAACCTTCACCCTCATCCTACACCAGAGCTGCAAATATCTAGCATTATTGCAAACTATATATGTATATTTGTTTGGGCAGTTTTCCTCCTTTCCTTCCTTTCTCCTTTCAGAGTTTACTCAATTTGTAAAAAAAACTGATGTACAAATGACCTGTACTACTTATGACAATTGGGACTGGAACATTTGTCACTAAGCAGCATGGTCATTAAGTGCCAGACTTTATATATATTTTTGCTATGGCCATTAAGCAAATCATATGGTTATTAAGAGAATTTGGCTTCTTCCATTGACATTGTCAAAGCCCCCAGAAAGATTACAAATGGTCATCACATGATTCATGCTGGTTGTCAAGAACCCAAATGTTGATTGTATGACCACAGGAATGCTGCAACGGTTCTAAGTGTGACAGCTGGTCATAAGTCATTTTTTCAGTGCCATTACACTTTAAACAGTTGTTAAATGAATGGTTGTAGACTACCTGTATAGTACATTGTTTTCAGGTTTCTTGAAAATCAGAACTAAAGAGAAGAGGTAATACTTGGTGGATTGGAGGACAGAGCCTTAAGAATGTTAGTGAAACAAGTTAGGGCAAAGAACTACAGATCAGGAAGGTTGATCTGATTGGTATCTTAGAGATGCAACCTGGGAAATGTGAAGCTGAGCACCTGGAAAGCACAAGCGGAGGAAAGAGGAGACTTCTATAAACAGGTATATTTTTCTCGACCCCTTGATGCTTATCTTCACTATAAGATTGTCTTTCTTTTGTCAAAAATCCCTAAGAAGAAAGTGGCAAAGGAACAAGGTCTGTTTAGTGCAGGAGTGTCAAACGCGCAATGACATGTCATCATGTGACATATCATAACTTTTTCCCCTTCATAAAACTAGGGGTAGGTGTGGCCAGCACATGATGCATCCAGCCCATGGGCCACGAGTTTGACACCCCTGGTTTACTGGGTCAATTTGCTCTTATGATCAACTTTAATGCAGTTATTTGTATGCCATGAATATTCATTATCAGAGTGTACTCTAATGAGTTAGGGAGAGAGAGAGAAAAAAATGGAAAGTAATGTACTTGAAATGGTGACAGTGATATCCATTTGATTCAATTCTGGAGTTAGTTGTAGGCCTTCTGTAAATATTCTAGAAAAAATTTGTCTATTAGGGAACTTTGTGCATCTCCAGTTTTACAATAATTGTTCTGTCCTCACTACACGTTAGTCTGTGTGCAGCTCAACATGCAGTTAAACCCACCTATCCTCCAATAAAACAGACCATGTGCATAGATCTGAATGTTTTACTGAAAGAACAGGATATGATGAAACTGGGGAAAATAGAACCAAATACAAGACAGACAGTATTGAACTACTGCTGAACATAACAATTAATAAATACAAGCAATTTAAATCTCATCAGTGATGCTCTGTGTGTGGGATGTGGGTTTGTCCTTGGATGACCATGTGCCACGGATTCTTTTTTTTTTTATTCTACCTTCTCCAAATGCTAAAGGAAATGGGGTCTGGCTTCCCAGCATGTACTTGTTTTGAGAGTGCGGGCTGATGGGTAGTGGGGTACTTGGTATTTGTCTCTCTGGCCACTAGATGGGGCTAGAGAGCAACAACAGTATATAAAGTTATATGCTGGAGCATGACAACAATACTGTAGTTTGTTAGGTTTTTCCATTATATGAACAAATGACAAGAGTTCTGATTCTTCTTGTTCTTCACTTCCAGGCTTGTGGTTGGCATTGGTGGGGTCCTCCTTCTCTTTGCCCTTGTTTCTGTTTGTGTTAGATGCTGCTGCTTTAATTGCCATCCAGGAGAAGATGCTTGTCCTCAACCATATGAGGTTACAGTTATTGCTTTTGATCATGACAGCACCCTTCAAAGCACCATCACCTGTGAGTGGAAAGACAATTTAGTCATCCTGAAAGTTGAAAAAAATTATGAAAGATCCCAGTCAGAAAAGTCTTACCAAAATAGTGAACAGGACATCCCAACTTTGGGCACCTTTGAAATCCTGAGAGATGTCACAAGAATTTTTAATTAAATGCTTCCTGGGGCTGGCAATTTAAATAATGACTGTCATTGGCATGCCAAGTTATAAAACACTTTTTTAAATAAATATGACTAAAAACAAAACCCTTTCTCAAGAACTACAGTAAAAATATATTTCGGAGAAAATAAATTGATGAGTTCAAGGACAATATGTCTAAGTAACCAACTGCAAGATGGAAATGGTCCCAAATGTTTCTAAAAGACAAAATGTGCCTTTATCACACACAATTAATTATAAACATCTCAATCACATTAATACAAATAGTTAAATCATAATGTACCATATGTAACTAATTATTCCATTATATCTTTCTAGTATATACATTTCTCATATCATGAGAAAATGTTGGCTAGCCCAATTACCGTATTTTTCAGACTATAAGACTTCCCCTCCCCCCAAAAGTAGGTAGAAATGTCTGTGCGTCTTATAAAGCAAATATTGTGGCGGGGGGAGAGTGGGGTTGGTGCGGTGCTGATCAGCTGTTCTATCACTGCCTATCACCACCACCTATTTGGGCAGTCGCGAACAGGCCATGGCAAATGGGCCGCAGCAAACGGGTCTCAGCGAATGGGTGGTAGTGAACGGGCCAGGGTGGCGGTGGTAAATGGGCCACAGAAACCCCTGCTCAAGCAGGAGACCCTACACAATTTCTGACAAATGGCAGTCCAATCTTTTCTTGAAAGTCTCAAGTGATGAAGCTCCCACAACTTCCGAAGGCAAGCTGTTTCATTGGTTGATTGTTCTCACTATCCGAAAGTTCCTCCTCATTTCTAGGTTGAATCTCTTCCTTGGTCAGTTTCCATCCATTATTCCTTCAGGTGCTTTGGAAAACAACTTGACCCTCTCCTCTCTGTGGCAGCCCCTCAAGTATTGGAAGACAGCTATCATGTCTCCCCAGGTCTTTCTCTTCACTAGACTAGCCATGCCCAGTTCCTGCAACCGTTCTTCATGTTTTAGCCTCCAGTCCCCTAATTATCCTGGTTGCTCTCCTCTGCACTTTTTCTAGACTCTCAACATCTTTTTTATAGTGTGGTGACCAAAACTGGATGCAGTACTCTCGGTGTAGTCTTACTAGGGCTTTATAGAGTGGTATTAGTACCTCACTTGATCTTGATTGTATCCCTCTGTTAATGCAATTTAGGACTGCATTGGCTTTTTTGGCTGCTGCCGCATATTTAGCTGGTTGTCCACTAAAATTCCAAGATCCCTCTCACAGTCACTGCTGTGACTCTCACAGTCACAGTCGCAAAACTAAGCTTTACTTGCTTCTACGTGTTCACAGAAGCTTGGTTATCTTTTCCAGGATCTTCTTAGGTATTGATGTCAGGCTGATTTGCCTGTAGATTGCTAGATCCATTTTTTCCCCTTTTTTGAAGATTGGAGCCACATCAGCTCTTTTCCAGTCTCTGATATTTCTCCAGTGCTACAGGATCTTTGAAAGATATGGTTCAGTGCTTCTGAGATAACTTCTGCCAGCTCATTCAGAATGCTGGGATATAATCCATCTGGTCCCGGTGATTTAAACTAGTATACAGTTTATAGATGTTGTCTTATCATATATATATTTTTTGCCTATTTTGTCTTGTATTCCTAATCTATCCTTTATGGTACTGCTTTTGTTAGGTTGGAGTATTTTATCTTCTGTGTAAAGACAGGTGCAAAAAGTGAATTAAGCAGTTCCACATTCTTCTTGCTGCCCATTAACTCCTTGCCATCTTCCCCCATTACTGCACTGATCGTTTCCTTGAAGATTTTTTACATGTTGAAAGATACTTTTAAAAATTATTTTTGACATTTGTTGCAAGTCTTAATTTGTTCTTAGCATTTGCTTTCCTGAGTTCATCTTTGCAGATCTAGGCTATTTGCTGTATTTTACTTTAGTTAAGTGTCCTTTTCATTTTTATACTTGTCCTTTTTGTCTTTCAGTTTATCAAAGAGTTCTTTATACAACCATGTTTTTTTTTTCCATCTGGGGCCTCTGACTTTTTTTCTCAGTGGTACTGTGCTTGATCCAGTTTTTATAATCTCATTTTTCAGTATTTCCTATGCTTCTTGAGTTTTTTTCCTGTTTAAGTCCATGGAATCCTTCCCAAGTTTGTTGAAATCAAATCTCTTAAA